CCGTGATTGAAATAGATTGGAAGAAAAGAAACCGCAGTTTTTAAAAGAATGAAAATTAATGTAAATGCATATTTTATTCGTGTTTCCAAAAATCACGAAACCAGTAAAACTTTAAAAAACTGCTCATGTTTTAAAGAAGGAAAAATACTTCAAACCATTGCTTTTGAATTGATTTCCAAACTTGAGTTCACCGCAGTTCAAGACCCTTCAAACAGTTTTCTACTCCGAAAAAATATAAAAGTGTTGATAATCTTACGAACGTAACTGTGTAAGGAAGCTCGTCAAAATTTATTTTTGTTTAAGTAAGCTGGAAACCATTCGGCCTAATGAGCATTTGGTCTATTGGCCATTCGGAATCACCGAACATCAGCTAGAAAAGTCATAAAATGTATTAGAAATTCACATGATTTGGATTTGCGATTTCCACTGACCTTATAAAGAAATACATATGTGACCTTAGAATCTGAGTAATGGGGATTTTTTTTTATTAACGGACAAAATCGGCCGAAGGTTCTCAGAATGCTATGAAATTTCACCCACAGATAGAGTTTATAATCATATTAATTAAATAAAAATTAAAAAAAATGGAGTGGTAAATTTTCCCGGAAAAGTTTTCGGATCTTCCCGGACATCACGTACTGTAATGCACCAAAATCCGGACACTAGGTCCGAAAATCCGAAAACTTTAAAAAGTTTATTAATAAGCCCAAATACGATTCAAATGTTACGAAAATTTTATTTGGATCCTATAGTATCGTTCATGTTAATCTAACATAATTATTATGTTGCCAAGTGAGTCACAAATTTAATTAAAAATGGAACGTCCGGATTAAAAAACTGTCTGGTATTCGGTGCATTAAGGTACCTACTTTTAAAACTCATAACTCACAAACCAAGCATCGTAGAGCAAATGTTTTAAAATGATAAGTAAATTATCTCAGTAATTCATATAACCTGTAATTTGAAAAAAAAATCAATTTTCCAACTATTTTTTTTATGCTTAGAAAAAATATCTTTTACTGATGAACGTTTCAAATTGGATGTTCATGCCGTTTCTAAGCTATGAACAAAAAAACTAACTTACTGGAAAATTGTATTCATGGTAAAAGACACCCCAGGTATCAATTTGATGCATAACAACTCAAGTAAAAATTCCAGCTGAACAGTAAGAACAAAAGCTGATTAATGGTTGATTTAAGGTGTACGAAGCTGATTAATACCAGGCTGATTATATAGTTGATAAGTAGTGCATAAAGCAAATTTAATCCCATAATTCAACTTCAATATGTTAGCAGAACTAAAAACTGGACAAGACTTATTTAAGCTTAACACTACTCCACAAATCAGCAATGCGCTACAAATATTTTGATAGCCTGGAGAGAATAACTGCACAATATTGTTGAATGTGGTCAGTGTAACGCGTTGCATTTCCGGCATTTCTTCTAAATTCACTGCCTACCCAAGTAACAATTCCAGCTGAACAGTAAGAACAGAAGCTTATTATGGGTTGATTTAAGGTCTAGGGATCTAATAGGATTTTCGTTGCTCTTACGGGTGGTTAAAAGACCACAATGTGAGATGATTAAGAGCTGAATAAGCTATTTTTTAGCTGTCGAAGCAAAATTTTGCTTGAATTAGCTCTTATTCAGCTTTCAATGTTTGTTGGGGTAGGTTCCAATAAATTCAAAACTCATCCATCAACTTCTGGATAGTATCAGGAACGCCAAAGAAGTTCCGGAAATTTCAGAAATGTCCAGAGAACTTCGGAAAACATCAGTAATATTTCGGAAAATTCTCAGAAATCCAATAAATTTCAATAATGTTTAAAGGTTTTCAGGACAGACACATTTATGTTAAGACCGTACGAAAAACGTCAGGGAAACTCTGAGAACATCAGGACAGATAAGAGATTGATTGATGTATCTTTATTTAGGAGGCTTTCAGCCTGAGGCTGGTTCGCCTCCAAACACAGATAAGAGAACCAAAGAGCTGTTCAATTAATTTCAAGGAAATTGCAGGAGCTTTGAAAGTGTTCCGAAATTATCGAAAACTTCAACAACAGAAACGGAAGAGGGCTTTAATGTGAAAAACTTTCAAAGGAAGTTCTGCAAAATTTATGAAAATTTCCAGAACTTCATAAAATTTAATTCCATTATTTCCAAGAAAATTTCGAGAACTTTTAAAATGATCCTTAATCTTCATGAAAGTTCAGAGAACATAAAAAATATTAGAGTTTTTAAGGTAGTTTCAATATATTCATTGACAAGTACTTCGAGCATACGTTGAAAGCTTCAGAGCAGTCCCATTAGCTTAAATAAAACTGCAGGAGCTTTCAAGGAGTTCCAAGGAAATATGAGATATTCCGAGAGAAGGGTCTTCAGGGAAGTTTTATACATATCAGGAATATTTGAGGAACATTAGAAAATATGGACAACTTCTAAAAACTACCAAAAAATTCAGGGAAGTCAATAAACGGTCAGGTAAATTATGAGATTTCTGGGGAGTCTCTGCGAGTTTCAAAGAAGATTTCAAAACCTCAGGAAAAACACGGGATATTGCGGGAACTTATAAAAAATACTGCGAAATTCAGGTAAGTCTATAGAACTCAACGAAGTTCATAAATCTTTCCGTAAGGATATATTTAAGGAAAATGTATTTAAATAGTTACGTCTGTTTGCCTGTGAAAGCACGTTAAACATCCGAAAAGTCTAGAATTTTGGGAAAGTTTAAGGTGTTGAAGAATTAGTCTCGATAGTTTCAGGGCAGCTCCATGAACTTCAGAAAAATTTTGTATTCATGCAGGCGACAACTACTACCTCTACCCGTAACATATACTATTTACTGTACCAACCGATAGATGTCACCACTTAGTTATGTTGTATATTGTAACTATTCGTTATTGTTTCTCTGTCATGTGTTATCCCTTCTCCTTCTTCTTCGCATTTCAAGCTTAATGCTTATCGCATTTTTTAGCTTATTGCGTGCTCTCAACTTAATGTTCTATATGCACTTTCACAGTTATTAATTAAGAGCATTCGATGCCTGTACCATTTTTGCATTGTGTGGCAAGTCCAATCATACTTCTATGCCCAGGGAAGTCGAGAAATTTTCCAACCCGAAAAATTCATAGACCGAACCGGGAATCGAACCCAGCCACCTCCAGCATGGTCTTGCTTTGTAGCTGCGCCTTTACCGACTGAGCTAAGGGAGGCCCCTTGTGTTATCCCTGTGATATGAATATAGTTTAATGCCTCCGCCATGGCAGGACGCCCAATAAATCGGTCTCTTTTAATTAATGATAACACAACGTAGAAAATCGGGTCCTACCTAGTGAGATCATGTTGAGATCGTCATTGAAAATCAATGAACTACATAAATTATGTCGTTCTAATTTCAGGTAATTGGTGTGAACCTTCGGAAAGTCCCAGAAATTTCTGAGATGTCTAAATTACTCCAGATAAGTTATGAATTTTCAGGAGTCAAGAGAGCTCCAAGAAAACTTCGGGAACATCATAGAAGATCAGAAAATGTTAGAGAACATCTGAGAACTTCTGGAGAGTTTCATGAACATTAGGAAATGTGGAAGCATTTAAAATAAAGTGTTGTAAGCTTCATGGTACTTTTAAGGTATGGAGAACCTCAGGGAAGATCACTGCTGTTCCATTAATTTCAGGAAAATTGCGGAAGATTTTGAGAGGATCCCAAATTTTCAATAAATCTAGAGAACTTCAGAGATGTTTAGAAAAAATTTGAGAACCTCAAACATTTTGAGAACCTTAACGAAAATCAGGAATTTTCAAGAAAGTTATTTTATTTTTGAATTTTAGAGAAGTTTCGAGGACTTCAAGGAATATCAGAAAACCCCAGGTAGGTTCCATTAACATCAGATAAATTACAAATTTGTTGAAGAAGTTTCGAAAACTTCTGAGACGTTGTTAAAGCATTAGGAAATTCTTAGAATTTCAGAACTATTTTTGAGATTTCATTTATTTTTGAGCGGTAGGTCGTCTGACATGTTATCACTGTAATATTTAAGATTAAATTTTGAATTAGAATAAGAAACCTAGAAATCTTATTGAATTCTACAATTTCATGGCACCAGTTTTTGTCGTTTCCCATTTAAATCACACTGATGCCAAAACTGGAACAAATTTTCAGTAGTGCCATACCTGGTGCACTTCCCCTAGATCAGCGTTTCTCAATCTTCCTTTTCTTATTTTTTCTTTAATTGGAATTTAATAAGCTCCCAACCCATTAATAATTAGTGTATATAATGTACTGCTTTATGTGTACATATGATTACCTGAAACTTAAAAACAGATTGAAATTGAATCGGCTTGAAAAAGACAAAATTCTCACGATTGATCGCGAGATTGAGAAACGCTGCCGCTCATGGGAACGGGCCCGACTTAGTAGTTAGCATCCATGCTAAAAAGGTTAGGAGTTCAAATCTCATCCATGTGTTAAGTAACAATAAATGGGAAAAAACTGTTGCTCATGGGAAGTAATCCCCATGATAACACAAATCAATAAGCCGAGAAAAAAAATCATTTTATGTTTGATTATTTTGCACTATGGATCCTATATAATGGGACAATCCCATTTGACTGATTTCCCAAACTTTTTCTGAACAAAGTTGTAGAATTTATCTCGTAGCCCAAACGAGTTAACAAAGTTAATGATTACATCTACCCTATGCACTATATTGACATCGCACAAATACACTTTAGCTCCCGGCTTAGCTCCATCGACTGACATCCATAATGAACGCCTGTCCACAAACGAGCATTGTGTCCACCAAAACTTGCGTACGCGATGTCTCTCGCGATCGCGTCGTCTATCCTGTTATTAATTCCCTCGACGGAAAGTTTATGTTCTCTCTCTCTCTTTCTCATGCACATTTCACCACTAGCACCTCGTATGGACCTCACCTCACACGGTCATATCAGAACCAACCGGAACGCCAAACAAGCAAGTGTCGTCGTCATCGTCGTCAGTTAATTCTAAACATTAGCACTTTGATCGGTTGATTGAGTAATAAGCAACAGCGAAGAGGTGCGCTTCAAAGTTCAGTCCCTCCGGGTTACAAAATAGTACTCGAACATGACCCCGGTTGACAGCGAAACAGCGATCGTTTACGGAGGCCCAGACCCAGCGGATTTACTGCACGATGGTTCTCTGGGCGAGATGATGATCAAAGAGCTGAAGCTAAGACCGACCAACATCGGGCTGGTGAGCAAATTATCGTTAGATAGTTGACATACTTTAGATTGTATGTTCATTTTTGCATTTTAGATCGATCCGGTATCGGAGACGGAGCTATGTTATCAGCAAATTTTGGTCCAATCGGTGAAAGTGGCGAATAGTTTACTAAATCTTGGGGTGAAGAAGACGGATACGGTGGCTATCGTTAGCCATAATTGTCTGGATTATGCTTTTGCCATGTTTGGGACGATTTTTGTTGGGGCACCTTTGGCGCAGTTCAATCCTGGATATTTACAAAGTAATTGATTCTTAGTATAATCGTCGGATCAAAATACTCAAATGATAATATTTCAGCTGAATTGACACACGCTCTCAACATGACAAAACCGAAAGTAATCTTCGTCTCGCCAGAAGTAGCCCAGATGGTAATCACCGTTAACCAAAAGCTACAATGCGCTGAGAAGATCATCACATTCGGAAACAGCATTTATAACATGCCAGAAGTAATCCCTTTCAAAGATCTCCTAAGTCAAAAAGTTGAAACTGACACCATAAACCCAGAACCAGTCGACAAACAGAACCACGTAGCTTTGATCTTACTTTCCTCCGGTACGACCGGTCTACCGAAGGGTGTTCAACTGACACATGCCAACATAATGACAACGATCGCCCATTCAAAAGAAGCAGCCAAATTGCTCGATCTTCCCGATCAGCTAGTAGCTTTGGCAGTGACCCCTCTCTTCCACGTTCTGGCTAGCGTCGGACTGATCAACATGGTCACCAACAACTGTCGCTGCGTGCTGATGCCCAAATTCGATGCACATCTGTTTTTGAACAGCATTCAAAAGTATAAGGTCAATCTGATGTCGGTGGTTCCACCGTTGATGGTGTTCCTAGCGAAGCATCCCATGGTGGACAACTACGATCTGTCATCGCTGATGACGTTGTTCTGCGGAGCAGCTCCGTTGAGTAAGGAGATCGAAGATCAAGTGCGGGACAGGTTGGGTATTGCTTTTGTGCGACAGGGATATGGCATGACGGAGACTACCTATGTGATGCTGATGCAGACAGGATTCGAGAATAAACCCGGTTGTGTCGGGAAGGTGCGCATGGGCCAATGGGCGAAGGTGATCGATCCGGATAGTGGAAAAGTGCTGGGACCAAACCAAAGAGGCGAGCTGTGCTTCAAGGGATCGTTAATTATGAAGGGCTACGTCGGGAAGGAGGAAAGTGCCGTTGATCGAGATGGTTGGTTGCATACAGGGGACATTGGGTTCTACGATGAGGATGAAGATTTCTTCATCGTGGATCGAATTAAGGAGTTGATAAAGTACAAAGGATTCCAGGTTCCACCGGCTGAACTAGAAGCGGTACTGTTGAAACATCCCAAAGTGAAGGACGCCGCTGTCATTGGGATACCGGACGAACGTGTTGGTGAACTGGCGACGGCGTTCGTTGTAAAGGAGCCTGGTGAAGATGTTACTGAGGAAGAGGTAAGCTCATTTGTGGCAAAGGAAGTATCGCTGCAGAAACAACTTCACGGAGGTGTTAAATTTATCGACGAAGTGCCTAAGACAGCTACCGGTAAGATTCTGCGCAGAAAACTTAAGGATTTGGTACCTTCCGTTAAAGCAAAGCTTTAAACGGTTGGTGTTTCTATAGTTGTTTATAGTTCTTATAGGTTGTGTGTTGCTATGATAATTTATGATTGAATAAAGGTGTGCGGATGTTGAATCATTCATGTCTACTTATACGCATTAAATTTTCATTCATTACCTGGATGGAGGTTTACATATAACTACTTTGTTGAGGGTAATTCGAGTGTATCTTGAATTGAAACGAAAGCTGCAGCCATAAAAGTAAATTTTACTGTTTCATATTGCTAAAGCCGAATGAATGAAGCGGATAAAATTTGTGAAGTGGAGAGAACAAAAGGCAATGCAAATTATAGGGGCTCCCGATATTCAAGTCAGCAATTACGCGGCATGATATGCTGGAGGTGGGCACAGCCAGCCGTAATTGGAATATTTGTTCACGAAATAGTATTATTTTTTTTTTTTTGATTCTCAGAAAGATTTAAGCCTCGAATGCAAAATTTCAAGATAATCTGATTTTGCATAGCGGTAAAAATGAAAATTCGTTGGAAACCGGTAAATATTTTTTTAGGGATGTAAGATTCTTTGACAGATTTTGCAATCGTATATAATATATAATATATCGTATATAATCGAAAATCGTAATACTTTTAAAATTGATTTCTTTTATTAATGATTGATTTGTAAATAATTTCAGTTTGATATGCATAAACCATTTTTGTATGGTACATAAATTTACCGTTTTGACTCATATCTCGGACACTGAAGGCATTATTTGGTTTCGTTTCTTCGATAAGCTATTTAATGATATTCTAAAGTAAATATCAAAACTATTCGAAAAAATTGTTATTTAACTAAGGCTATCAAGATTCAAACTTCGGACACTTGTCTTTGAGGAGATTCAAATTTCAGACAGAAAAGATTCAAATTTCGACCACCCACTTTGTAAGCTACGTGTGATAGCAATCACTGTATAATATCATTTTTTTCATTTATTATATTTGAATTCATGTTTATTGTCGTTTAATGTTATGAAATTATTTAATAAATTAATTAAACCGTTTTGTCCGAGTCACATTTTCTCACATTTTATTTTTAAATAATGTTGGAAGCGCGTTAATGTTTTCGCGAGCAATTTTATCATTCAGGGTGATTCCTATAAAATATGGTTGTAAAACTGACTAAAGGAACAAGCGTGATATTTTAATATTTTGATATCGTACGGGTATTTCAAGATATAATTATAAAGTGTCCGAAACATGAAGGATTCTGAAATATGAATCAGAACGATAGGCATATTACAAAAACAGTATGCGAACAGTTCGCATCGTACTCTCTTGCCGTGTGGATCTATTTGCATTTTGCTAAAGGAAGTGTTCCCGAGCAAAGTCCAGCATCAAAATGACAGCAAATTGAAATCAAGTTTTGATATCAACATCAAACTGAAATCATAATTTGCTTTCAGTTTACACATTGACAAATTTGATACCAAATTTTGTTTTTATTTTGCTGTACATTTGCTCTTTAAAAATATGTTGTTACGGGTTTGTTTTCATTGCCTTAGCATAACATCAAATTGTATACTTGTTTTGTTATCAAAAGGAAAAATGGATAGCAAATTTGGTTTTCAGTTTGCTCTCACTGATAGCAGAAATAGTTTTCAATGTGATGTCACAGGAAGATATGTTTGCTCTCAATTTTGATATTTTAACCGTTAAAACGACCAAAACGACAACAACCTGAGTAATCATTAACAGCGAAATCACAACATCAAATTTAGATTTCAATTTGATCTCAGACTTTGCTCGGGTTACTACTACCTAAATCTACAGCAAACTTAAACAGCACTTTTCAGTGCTCAATATTACCCGCAAATTGTCTACCTTGATCGACTATTATTCATCTTCGATGACCCTACCCGAGGTAATTCTGCTTGGTTATCGATTTGGTAAATTCCTCTACGATCCTTCGGGTTCTTATAGTAATCTGCTTGCAAATCGAACTGGAGAAACTTGGTTCTGCCACCATGGCGAAAAAAGGAAAGGACAATCTCTTGATCCCCCTTCTGATGAAATTTATTTGACCAATCAATTTGATATGCTCACGGATGATGAGAATGATCCATCATTTAGGCAAAATTCCTCTAAACTTTCCCGGCTTAATGCCTAGAAGGAAAAGGTTCCCCCTATTGTGATTACCACTTCCGATTTCCATGCCCTTCGCACGGCACTTTTGAACTTCGTTAAATTCATGTTTTCATTTCAAATTGGCCACCGAGGTGAATGCCGTGTATTGGCTGAAACCTTGGACGGATTCAAATGTCTTCTCAAGTATCTTACTGAGAAGCAGCACATTTTGTTTACTAACGACACCAACACTGAACGTCTGTTCAAGGATGTCTTGAAAGATCTGCCTAGTGGTGAATCCCCGGATCAGAACAAAGATGAATTGACAATATTACTTGGAGTTGAGCCACTCCAAGTAATCAAAATGAAAAGGAAATCCCGTCCTGGAGATTCACGCAACGGGATTTCTAATTATTTGTATTTAGTTCACTTCAAGTCTAGAGGACTAAGCAACCTTAAGGCCTTAGAAAAAGCTAACTTTATGCTCCATGTCCGAGTGAAGTAAGAACACTTCAGGAAGACTGGAAGAAATTTCCCAAACCTCACCCAGTGCCTGGGATGGAGTCACGGGTCCAAAAAATGCTACATGCCAGCTAAATTCATGAATTGTGGAGATTCCTCTCACGCAAAGGATGTTCAAAATGTGGTGACAACCACACATCCAATTTTTCGGAACGTAAGACTTGCAAAGCGATCCTACAATCTCGTTCTTAGTGTCAGGTAGGAAATGATCCACGTTCCCAACCTGGTTCTAATTTCTCTGTTGTTAACAACGATCAGCGAGGAACCAATTCTACATTCATACCCGTAGGTACAAACAGCTCACAACCTTCTTCTTCATCTATACCTGCTGCTAGCAAAGTTCAGCAAGTGAATGAAGCTACCTATGCTGCTATTGCAACGGGTAGAAATCAAAATCAAAATTCTAGCCACCATAATTCTAACGGAAATTTTGATGATTTAGGTAGCATTCCTCCTCCTAAAATAGAATTTCTACAGAAGTCATATTAATCGACACGATTACTGATATGCTGAAAACTAACTCCATATTTGAAGCTATTCAAACTGGAGTTAAATTTGCGAACAATATCGTCATGACTTTGAAATTCAGTAATGTATTTTAAATAATTAAATATTTTGAATTGGAATGCTCGATCTATTAAAGATAATGAAGACGAGTTATTTAACTTTTTGGGAGTTGCATATCGCCTTTTTGTTTTATTTATCGAAATGATCCTCTAGATGGAGCCGGTGGTGGAGTTGCCATTATGGTTCGGTCGTCCATTACACAGCACTTTGATTTAGTGTATACATTTGCGAGCACATGTTATAGTCACAAAATTACATCTATCATCATCATCGTGATTTTGGGAAGTTCCGTTCCAGTTCCCGCACAGCTGTTGCTGATTTTTACAATACATCGTCGACTATGTACGGCGGTTAAGCATAACGCTTTTGAGTTTAGCCTGGCAAACAAGACTTCTCTGAAGGATATGCAGGCAGTCCATCGGATCGGACGCATTTTATGAGGTCCAATCTCCGTGCACGATAAATTATTCTGATTGTATTATTGTGGATTGCTGTTGAGGGCCATAATGGGTCATTTGGGCGAATTAGTAACTAGGCCAAATTTTACAAAGTGAAAGACTGAACTTAGAGCACCCAACAAACATTGGAAGCAGAAAGTGCTTATTCAGGCAAAAATATGTTTGTTCAGCTTAAAAAAAATGCTTACTAAGCCTTCGGAAGCCTTTGGGTATTCTTTGGAACAATTTTCAAACCCCTTAAACTTCGAAAATGTCCCAATATCTCTGTCTGAGAAGGGACATACATACCGTTCCGATTCAAATTTCGGACGATTCAAATTTCGGACACTTTCATTTTTAATTAAATATTACATCCAGTTAGAAACAAAGTAATAATGTTAGATGATCGTGGAGGGCACTAGTCAAAAAAATTTAAAATTTACAAGGCATGTGGATCATATTCGACCGAGATAATCAACTTTTAAAAGTGTCCAAAATTCGAGTTTAAGTGTCCGAAATTTGAATCGGCACGGTACATGAATTCAACATGATTTGTTAAAAAAAAATTGAATGGTTCAGGATCCTTGAAAACAAAATCAAAATCGCACGCTTAAAAAAGAAATCTCTCGGAACAATTTTCATTAGCCTGTGTCTTTGAACATTTTTAAACAAACTTTTTTTTTAAGCTAATCAAACTTTTTTCTTATTAGAAGATTGCCAATTGGGTTGTTTAGGGGTATGGAGGTAAATACATATTCGGTATCTGCATTAAAAACGGAACCGAAATCCAAAATTTCATCAATTTTGGTACACTGGAACTATTTTAAATAAGTACGATTACCTAGTACCTGAGTATCTGATGGGCGACGACTCGTTGAATTCAAATCTGCGCCAAACGAAGTAACCGTCTCCATTGGTCTCGGTCCTGAGCCAATCGCTTCCAGTCGCCTTGGACCTTCCGTTCAAGGACCTAATGTCCTCCTCAACTGCGCAAAGCCAACGCGTGCGTGGCCTACCCCGAAGCCAGCCGACGTCCTATTATTATAAGCTTCACAATATCCCTGCCGTTATATACTTGGTACAACTCGTGATTTATGCGACGCCGCCAGATGCCATTTTCCAGTTTACCGCCGAATATTGTTCGCAGCACTTTAAGCTCGAAGACACCGAAAGCTCTCCGATCGGCCTCTTTCAATGCCCACGATTCGTGGCCATAAAGGGCTACCGGCAGAATCAACGTCTTGTACAGCGCGAATTTCGTTTTCGTACGCAAGCTGCGGGACTTCAGCTGGCTACGCAACCTGTAGAAAGCCCTGTTCGCGGCTGCAATACGCCTTTTCACCTCACGGGTAACATCATTATCGCACGTCACTAAAGTACCAAGATAAACAAATTCGTCCACAACTTAAAAT